TTTAGATTGAATTTTATAAAATATTTTGCACAAAATGTGTAAATGTTGTAGAGTACCAACAACACATTAACATAAAATGATACATAATGTATGTTTGTAATTATGGGAGAGATCATAAATCTTAAACATCCATTGGTTTAGAAATGAAATAGTTCTACTTAGTTCTCCCTAAATTACTCCAAATTTCTGAAATTTACCATTCATCTGGGTATTCTGTAACTACCCCCAAGGATAAATTTTTTAAATGACTTTGCTTTCAAAAATGCAATTAACTTAATAAAATTATAATGCAAAACTGCCATCAGGTCTTTAAAATTTCAGCCCACTTCCCATCGCCAATAGGCCAATAGATATGTACCATTTCAGCTAATTGCTTTTATAAACAGTTATCAAATTTATTTTTCTGGGTCTTTCTGGATCTTAATTGTCCTTACAGCTTTATCAGCATGCTACTTTAACTTTTAATAAATCTTGATTTCATTCATCTTGCTGCATTTACATTAACCAGTGTTATTATTATAGTTGGTATTGGATTCTTTAGGCAATCTATAATAATAAAAGGGTAACATGCTAATTAGACGGGACGACCTTCCAGACAAATCCAGGGCTGTGAGGAAAGCCGGGGCCGGGTGCCAGGGGGAAACCGGTGCCGGCAGCCGGGGAAGGAAGGCCTACTCTTGCACGAATTTCAGGCATCGGGCCTCTAGGAAGAAAATAAACTAACAAGCAAAATAGAAACAGACTCTTAGACACAGAGAACAGACTGACAGCTGTCAGAGGGGAGGGGGTGGTGGCTGGGTGGAAAAGGTGAAGGGATGAAGCAAAGAAAATAAACAACTCAGAGAGTTCAGTACGGTGCTTACCAGGGGGAAAGGGAATTGGGGGGAGGTAGAAGAGGGTAAAGCAGGAATAGATGGTAATGGAAGGAGACTTGACTTGGGGTGGTGAACACACAATACAATATACACCTGAAACCTACATAATTTTATTAACCAGTGTCACCCCAATACATTCAATTTAATTTTTTTTTAAAAAGGTTACCTCTTATCCAGGTAAATGGTACAAGGGCTTTAATAAATTTCCATTTAAAATCCTGGCAGCTAAATGGTTTAGATTTCAGACTGCAAATAGAATTCTCATCAATTTTGGATTTACCAATAATATTATATTAGCTTCACAATATATCCTACTTTTCCAATGTCATGTAAAAGATTTTTCCCTTTCTTCT